CCCAGCTCTCAGGCATGCTTGGTAAACATGCACGGGCCCGTGAAAATTTTGTTCCAGTAAGTTGCTGACTTAGGGGCCACGGAAGCTAGAAAGCTGAAATTTTAGGGGGATGTTTCCTGACAGTTTTGGCGGCCAGTCTTAGTTTGTTTAGCTAGAAGCATTTGCCAAAAAAACCAGTGCCGGTAGCAACAAAAACTGCGTGGAATCATGCAAAAAACGCATCTTCATGGCCAATTTTTTTGAAAATGACCTAGCTTTTCAGTAAGCGATTTTTCAGTCAAAACTTCCACATGCCACAAGTAAGTGCTATACGTAGCTGGAGGCCTACTTTGAAATCATTAATTGTATTTCGCGTACTGCACCAACTCGAAACAAGCAGAAAACAATGGCTGAAATCTCGTCTGAATATTTGTCGTCCTTATGGAAAATCATGAGCCTAAGCTGAATTTCGAATTGCACTTGTGCCACAATTCAGCCTGGGATTGCATTTGCATACATGCAAAAACGTATAAAATGAGGGATTTGTGCGGTGTGCTCAGTAGCTGGTTGTCTATGGTATACTGATCCACTCTGAGAATATAAAAGTGGTTAAATTTTTCTATTTCAATAATGGTGAGGGAATTTTTTTTGTTGAGAATACTTTTTTCTTGCACTTAAGTGAGGTTTATCGTAAATACAAATTTTTTTTAGGCGACTGAGGGCGTAATGAGAGGAGGTGGTGTGGGACAGCAGGATGGAAAGTGTCAAATAAAATTTTGTGAAAAAGGAATTTCGGCCAGTCCTGCTTCAAATGCATTTATCAATGCTTATAAGGTACATCAATGCCAAGATGTATCATTTCCTCAAAAATATCTCAGTTTAGGTTGAGTATTTCAACAATAAAGTGATATGTGATCTGGTAGAAATTCCTCGCACAGGCATTTTACCTATTCTGGATGAAGCGTGCTACACCGTCGGTCCTATCAGTGATAAGGTACGTTCGTTGCCATTTTTAAGCAAGGCGATTTTTAATGTATGATTTTGCTACCATTCGCAAGGCGCGGCGAACTAGACTATTTATCAAAATTAACAAGTTAATGGCGACAAATTAAAAAACCGTCTCGAAATTGCACTCCATCGGTTCTTAAAACTGAATTTAAATATATGAGTTTCGAGTATAATAATGATAGTAATAATAATATAACAGTAATAATGTTAATTAAAGGCG